CAAGTTCAAGTTCGATTTTACGGGCAAAAGAAGTTTGATAAGTAATGTATTCAGGCGATAGTTAAGCCATGATTGAAGGAGCCAGAGGCTCGGTAGGGACGGGGGAGGGGGTGCGGGAGGTGATGCATGCACTTAAGTATAGATACTAGTATTTTCGCCCCCTCCCATCCCACCCGCACCCCCTTTCTATGGCCATATATAGGGACTCTATTCTTTTCGAGGTGGGGGCAGACAATATTAGTATCTTCTTAAGTACATGTAGCGCCTGCGACGGGTGAGGACAAAAACCCCACCCCAAGCCCTCAGCTCCTACAGCTATGGCCACGAGCATTATTATCTTAGTTCACTGTTAGGTTGTTTTTTTTTCCGACTGGTTTCATCGACTGAACTATTTGACTGATTTAATCGACTGAGATATGTGGGGGATTTTATCGTCTGGACCAAGCCACATTAAAATGTCAGATATATGTAAGATGAATCATTACATGGAGAAGGTAGGCTAAGGAAACCTATATATTAGTTGGGGGTCCGATTTATAGGAAGTTATAAGTTGTTTAATTGTTGCTGTTATGCATTTGCTCCTGAAATAAAGTGTTGAAGATCCATTCCAAGAATCTGTATTCATTTCTGATCCTAAGAGAACAATATGTCATCCTGCCAATTGCCATGATATAGGTTGCAGCTATGCAAGATGTTTCAAGTTTTAGTGCCAAAAGCACCAGCAATCAAGACTCAAGATCACAGATATGCAGATCCACCCGTACAAGTGTCCGAAAAAGTCCTTAGACATTTTAGGCCTTACAGTAGGAATCATTTGTACAGAAATAGAAACTATTTTCGTGAAACTAGTTATAGATTATGTTATTTTGATTAATGGAAAAATAAGGATTTTCATTGTATTAATGATTAAAACATGGGGACATGTTTTTGTTTGGAGTAAGGTGGATACACATGACTAATTATAGGTCATATGTTATTTTATTAATGTTTAATTATATTTTTAATTTCAGATCTATATTTTAATATTCATTAATGCTTGGTGAATCATTAGAAGCAGGCGACAATTAATTTGTCACTCGATATAAATTTGTCACTGTTGGGCTAATGAAGACGGACATACGCCATACAGTGTGCTATGAGGGAAATTTTGCCTGGACAGCGCACTACGGCCTACTCTTATATTGAATTCCAACTGTCAAGGAATCTTTTACGTTCACTCCAATGTGTACATAGGACCTCGGTTTTTCATCTCATCCGAACGATAACACAGCTAACCTTGTCAGGCCCTCTGTCTTGCATCACTGACAAAGGGGAATCACGCCGGAAAAACTGGATGAACACTTTCGGCCAATGCAGGGATCGAACACCTACATGTAACCTCCAGACTAGCGAGCCAGCGTCTTAACCACTTAACCACCGTAAACTCCCGCTACTTAATGAAGTGAAATGGAGTTTAACATCCTGCTGTTGTGCACCGACTGGGCTAATGAAGACGGGCATGCGCCATACAGTGTGCTACAAAGAAATTTTGCCCCGACAGAAGCGCTACAGCCTACTCTTATATATTGAATTCCAACTGCCAAGGGATCTTTTACATGTATGCCAATGTGTACATGGAACCTCGGTTTTTCTTCCCATCCGAAAGACCAGACAGCTGTCCTTTTTGTCACACCATCCGTCCTGCCCTACGGACCTGGATAAAATCCTGAGGAACTGTCTCGGCCAATACCGAGAACGAACCTGCGACCTCCAGGCTAGCAAACCAGCGCCTTACTCACTTAGCCACCGTTGCTCCAGGCTACTTATTGTTATCTTAGTTCAGTCCTATTAGTGCTTTACAGTGCTTGGTTAGTCATTAGAAGCAGACAGCAATTAATTTGTCAGTCGATTTAAATTATGACAGACTTGTAACTAAAGTGGTTGATCTGTTAAGTTTCTTTTACTATTGTTTAAATGCCTTAATCCTTCAATAATTATATGTTTATGTCAACACTTTCATAGTAACTAATTTATATAAAAAGACAAATGTATGTAAGATGAATTATAGTTGGAGAGACCAGCTTAGGGAACCTATATACTAGTTGGAGGACCGATTTATAGGAAGTTATAAGTTGTTTACTTGTTGCTGTTATTTATTTGCTCTTGAAATAAAGTGTTGAAGATCTATTCGAAGAATCTGTATTTATTTCCGATACTTAGAGAACACACTCGACGAGATACATTCCCTGAAAGTCGAACCGTGTTATGAGCATGAAAGGGTTACTCAATGAAATGAAATGGGCTTTAATTTTAACGTCCTACTGTTGTGCACCGAATGGGCTAATAAAGTCGGGCATACGCCATACAGTGTCCTACTCTTATATATCGAATTCCAACTGGCAGGGGATCTTTTACATGCATGCCAATGTGTACATGGGACCTTGGTTTTTCATCCCATCCGAATGACTAGACAGCTGTCCTTGTTGTCAGGCCCTCCGTACTGCCCCGATGACAAGGGGAAACCACTCGGAAAATCCTGAGGCACTGTTTCGGCCAATACCAGGAACGAACCCGCGACCTCCAGGCTAGCAAGCCAGCGTCTTACTTACTTAGCCACCGTGGCTCCAGGCTACTTATTGTTATCTTAGTTCACTCCCATTAATGCTTCATAAAGTATGGTTCTCCACCATCAATTCAAGCAACTGCTTTTTTCGACTGAAATATACACTGAAATATTCGACTTGAGATCACAAAAAAACCCTGACTCGTCCAATACCCCAGCCCCCGACTACAGGCCTATGTAGGATTCTATTCACTTAGATGACGGGGCCAAAAACATTACTCTCCAGTTAAGTACATGTATCACCTAAATACCTAGATCATAAGACTACTTTTGCCCGAAAAATCTGAATTTATAGTAGTTGGGAGGGGCGGGGGGGGGGGGGGGGGTAAAGCCTCTGACTACGAGCATGATTGGGTTATTCTATATTACCTTCGTTCACTGCCACCAGTGCTTAATATTGAGCGACTGGTTTTATCGACTGGGATATTTGACTGTATTTTCGCCCGGATTATTCAAATGGTTTTATCGACTGGATTATTTGACTGGTTTTTTTTCGACTGGATTATTCAACTGGTTTTGTTGACTGAATTATTTGACTAGTTCTGTCAACTGAATTATTTGACTGATTTTATTGTCGAAAAAAGTCAAATATTTTCTTGTGGACTCATCCAGACAATAAAGCCAGTCAAATATCTCGGTCAATAAAACCAGTCAAAAAATTCAGTCGCTAAAACCAGTCGAATATCTCAGTCGTTAAAATAAGTCGAATATCTCAGTCGATAAAACCAGTCGAATATCTCAGTCGATAAAACCAGTAGAATATCTCAGTTGATAAAACAAGTCGATGCCTCAGTCGATAAAACCAGTCGAGTATTACAGTCGATAAAACCAGTTGAATATCTCAGTCGATAAAACCAGTCGAATATCACAGTCGATAAAACCTGTCACTGAACCTGATGGTGAAAAACTAAAAACAATAGGCCTACTCTGATGGGAGTAAACTAAGATAGTAAAATGTAGCACAGTTGTCTTTAGATAAATCCACACACATGGACTTCATCCCAGATTAAGTTGACAATGTGCTTTTGCCAGTTATATGATGAGAAGTTTTCTTTCCACAGCGCCCAGTCGAATATCCTAGTCGATAAAAACAGTCGCTCAATAATAAGTAGCAATGGCAGTGAACTAAGATAATATCGAGTAGTCCATTCATACCCATAGCGATGCTGTAATAGCGCCCGGGGCTTTACCCCCCCCCCCCCCCCAACTCCTCTGCCAAATAGTTTCAAGTTCGATTTATGGGGCAAAAGTGGGCTGATAATTAGGTATTTTGGGCCGGGGATAGTCGAAAAAAACAGTCAAATAATTCAGTCGAAAAAACAGGCAGATATTTCAGTCGAATAATCCAGTTGAATAATTCAGTCGCTCAATATGACGAGGAAAAACGTAAAGTTTGACTTTATTAAGCAGTGGTGGCAGTAACTAAGATTACAACATGTAGCCTACTCCTTTATAAATCCCTCCACATCGTTGTTTTTATTCCGAAGCGACTAGATACTAAGGGCCATACTATATACCGGAAAACACAGGAAAACACCGGAAAACAACCGGAAAACACGGAAAACACCATTTTATACTGAATACCGGAAAACACCGGAAAAACATTAAATACCGGAAAACATCCTAAATACCGGAAAACACCATAAATAGTAGGGCTGCAACGATACACCAGGCCACGATACGATGCGTATCACGATTCATACCCCACGATACGATTAATATCGCGATGCAGGAAGTCAATTTAAAAACTGCTGTTCAATTTTAAAAGTCTTTATTTTTTTACTTTAAACATAATATTATCACCTTTTTCAAAGGTTTGTATAATGTGTGTGATAAACCCTTTATCACATATCAATAATTATTATAATTATCAACTTGACAGGAACCCACTCTACTTTCATTCCTTCAATAGCAAAGTTCAAATCTTTCACTGTGAACATAAGGAAGGGTTAAGTAAGGCCTATTTGTATGATTTACTTTAAATGATTAAATCTACATGTTATTTATAAGCTTGCAGTAGTCTAGATCCTTAACAGCTTTACAGTACAAGAATGAATATCATAACTACACCACAGTACATGTATTTCTCCCCCTAACTTCTATCAATCAAGCAATTATCAAACATCTAATACTTTTCCTTTACACCATGTAACATAAGCATCCAAAAAGTTTTTCAAAACAATCATGTTAAAATTAGACAGTCACCCCAAATGTGATTCAAATAGGACCAATGGAATTCAGGTATATTTAATCAGCTAACGTAATTTTTCCCACATAATTCTGTGATATTTTTGTCATATTCAGCAATTAAATATCTTCTGATTTTCATGTAAATTATTGAGCATAACAAAACAAAACAATAACCCAACAAGTCAACACATTTGCTAGTTAATGAAAGTTATGATAAATTAAAGTTATTTTTCAAAAAGATGAGGATATCCACATTATCAGGGTGTAAACAATTTCTTTGAGCAGAGACTATATCTCCAGCAGTCGAAAACACTCGCTCACTAGGCACTGAGGTACCGGGAATGCCTAAGTATTTTCTCGCTTGTAAACTGAGTTGAGGAAATTGAGATTCATTAGCTGCCCACCACAATAAAGGGCTAGAGTCCAATGGTGTTTTGATGCCTTCCTGATAGGTTTTTATTTCATGCTGCAGATCATCTAACTGACTAGTGCTCGTAGTAGATTTGGAAAAAGTATCTCCAAGTAATTCTTCAAGAGCTGTTTTCTTTTTTGGCGGTTCTTCACTGTCTAACCCATCAGTCAACAAAGCAATGCTTTCCGTTTCATTATCATCACACACCTGCAAATATAAAAACGAAAATTTCATTAGATCACATGACCTAAAATACACTTTTCTACTGAAAGCAATTCACTTGGTGTTTTAAAAATTCTATTTAACCAGTCCAGACAGCATCCCAAACTAGGCTTACTCTTCAAGAACACTAGCTAAACTACTTTTAATTAAAGCTATTTGACATCACAAATGAAAATATTTTTAAAACTGGTACTTGTTTATTTTTAAAATCCCATTTACCTTACAATCTTTAGAGTACTGCAAACATTTTGCCATTATTCTTGAGTAAACAGCAAAATTGGTATTCTCATATTCTGAAAAAGGCAGGGATCTAAACCGAGGATCAAGTGCAGTACTTTCTTCCAGAAATTTAAGCAATCCTGGCTCTGTGTAACGTGGTTTCAAATCTTCTAAAATTGCAGACTTAACCTCTTGTAATATCTTTGTGTCAGTTTCCACAGGTTCTACAGATTCAATGATTTTTTTCTTTAATGGAAGTATTATAGAAATTGTAGGTGTTTGCTCTGAACATAACAGTGTGGTAACTGTCTGCAATGGTTTGAGAATTTCTGCTACAGTACTTTCTTCCAGAAATTTAAGCAATCCTGGCTCTGTGTAACGTGGTTTCAAATCTTCTAAAATTGCAGACTTAACCTCTTGTAATATCTTTGTGTCAGTTTCCACAGGTTCTACAGATTCAATGATTTTTTTCTTTAATGGAAGTATTATAGAAATTGTAGGTGTTTGCTCTGAACATAACAGTGTGGTAACTGTCTGCAATGGTTTGAGAATTTCTGCTACAGACTTGACATTATTGAGATCATCATCAGTGAGTGTGACAAGGTCTTTGTTCTTCTTTTTAATGTCTAAAGTTGATAACAACACTGCCTCGTGCTGTTCATAATACCGTTCTGGCATTTCATAGGTAGAATTCCACCGAGTGGAAACATCGATGATAAGACTGTGACGAGGTAACTCAAGGATTGCTTGTTTGGATTTTAAAACTTCAGCACCATAGCAACTGTGGTGAAAATAGGTGACCACCTTACGAATTTTTCCTAGAAGTCGAGATAAGGTTGTTGTTTGAAGACTTTTTTGGCAGGCTAAGTTAATCGTATGTGCAAAACATCGCACATTTGGTCCAAACCCTTTAGCATCTCTCACTGAATTAACAACATTTCGAGCATTGTCTGTAGTAACAAGTATATTTGTCCCTGGACGCGTAAGCTTCCATTCTCGTGCGCATTCTATAAGAAGGTCTGCAAGTATTCCACTTGTATGCGATTCATTCAGTACTCTAGTCTGCAGGACAAAACTCTGAATATTCCATTTGCTATCAACAAAATGGGCAGTGACAGTTATGAAACTCTGCGTGGATCTCGATGTCCAGCCATCTGTGGTGATACTAACAAAATCAGCCTCATTTAATTTTTGATTTACTATTTCCTTTGTCTGGGCGTAAATTTGAGGTATTACATTGTTGGTAAAGTGAGTTCGTGACGGGATATGATAACGTGGCTCAAGTTGATGTACCATGTTCTGAAAACCTCGATTATTCACAACACACAGTGGTCTCAGATCTAAGGCAATGAAAAGTGCAATACTGTGTGTAATTGCTAGTGCACGAGCACTATTAGGGGCTAATGGAGATTGTAAAAAGGACTGCATACGCAACTGACCAACCATTGGAACTTCACCAGGCGATTCCCTCCCAGTTTCATCTGTAGGAACAGACACAAACGTCATATTGACAGGTTTTCGTTTTGTTGTTACGTCTAGAACAGCATGGTGTCGACTTAAGTGTGTTATCATGTTTGTAGTATTCCCGTTATATTTGATTTTTTGATAACATCGTCTGCATATGGTGTTTTCTCGGTCCACTGAACGAATTCCATTATTGTCATAATTTACGGGAAATCCAAAAAACTCCCATACTTGTGACTTATACTTAGCAGAGGGATTTTCAATTTCTACATTATTTTTGTCGCCCGTACGACCTGAATTTGTTGACGAATGCATCATTATTAAAAATATTCTGTTGCTGAATCAATTCAATGGCTGGCTCGTATTGCTACAACAATTTCAGCCAATGGAAAGCTTTCTCGTTGTCAGGTCAGTCGTAGATGAGAGAATGGCAAAGAAAATAACAATACGAAATTTGAATGTTAAAATATTATTATACATTGAAAATATAGAAAAGATAATTGTGCTGATCATTGTATGCACCTATCACCATTCTTGCACAGTAGTCTTATTACAAATCGCATATTACTGACGTATTTATAATAATATGTTGTATGTTTTTTCCGCATATTATTCAAGTGTGTAATTTGCAAGTAACCTAATTTCATGCATGACTTGCTTATCCAGACTGATATTTTTTTTATTCTTGACGAAATAGCTGAAAGTCTCGAATTATTCACGTGACGAAAGCGAGTTAACACGTACTCGCTGAAAGTAAAAAAAGTTATTTTACTCATAGACTTATTTAGGCATTCCTCGTTAGGATATTTCAACGACAGAATGTCAGTCGATTTTCTTTTTTAATTTTGGATAACGAATCGCAATACGGACATTGATTGTATCGTGCATCGTGGATTTTTAAACTATCGCGGTTCATCGATTCATCGATGAATCGTTGCAGCCCTAATAAATAGGTAACCCGGAGCCTGGTCCTCTGTGTGCGGTTTTGGACCAAGTGAGCGCGGATGAAGGAAGGTCAAGGTCATTACGATGTTGGTTTTACAAATACCCCCCCCCCCCCCAAAAAAAAATAAAAAAATCCGATTTTGTTTCTCCAAAACTTTGTTGATGCCTATTATGTTTTGAATGTTTTTAAAGACGCAATCAGTCTACCTCCATCATTGATAATATTTTATTTTGTATTTTAATTTTAGTTTTCAGTAGATTTCAGTGTTTCAGTATTTCAATAGATTAAACACTGCCCTCGGAGGGCCCCATTATATGCCGGTTGCGCCGGTCTCCTGATTCTTACCAGTAACGCTGGCATCAGGGAGGCACGACTAGGACAACTCCTCCCTTGGTAACAAAAAATCGCATCATAAAACAGCAAGTATCATCAAAAGCGAGTTAATAAATCTCTAAATAGTTCGAGTTGAAGTTCCAGGTTTAACCGCTATGTGTCCTAATCACCAAACGAAATGGATGCCACGCAATTCTCGGACAGGCTGTAATCTGAAAAGTGTCTATCCTTTCCAAGAGCTATCCATCTCGTTGGAAGGGCTAAAAATCTACTTGTTTCTGAGCTTACTTTCATTCCAGGGTCAAATATAATCACTTGAACCATAATAATATTCAACATATTCCATCATATTCCGAGGGCCGCACACAGGATTTTTTTCTGGATTACTTTTCGAGCTTTTTTCCCCAACTTGTTGACCAGTTTTCCTTGAGAAAACCCCAACTTTCGCCCAATTGTCCATGAGAAAACTACATATTCGATCTTACTGCATTGACGGGAAGTGGTAAGCTGGACGTCTGTGAAAAGGGTTGATCGATACATTTTCAAGGAAGCAATTGTTTTTTTTGTTTGTGAAATAGAGGACTCTAGCCGATGAGGCTACTTTCCCCCCGAGAACCTCAGGCAACCAATTTGTTTTATGTATTACTATCGTAATAAAAAATTACTATGTTAACCACTTCCTGGTGGCTGAAGACTTACACCGAATGCGTATTCGGAAAAATATGTCCCCGAGAAAATGTTTTTTCAGACAATCGATATTCGAGATGTCTTCTGTTGCACAAATTATGCTGCACTGTGTAAGAACTTGCATCCTTTTATCTGAAGATTGTAGATGGAAAAGTATCATTTGTACTATTTCAAAGTAAACTTGCATTTTCGTATATCATCCCGTAATTTGTGATTAATGACAATGACTGTGGAAATAATATGGGTTGAGGAACGGGAGATCTATGTTCGTCACGTGACTGGACAATTCCACCCCCGTCCCACCCAGACGATGATCCCTCCCGGAGCGGCGCGGCGCGCTCTCTAAAAAAATCTCGGGCACAGTTTATCTTCTAAGTTTTCCGGTAGCTATTTAGAAACCCGGAGTTTGGTCCTTGTTTGTGGTTTTGGACCAGGTGAGCGCTGATGAAATAAGTTCATTAACATACAAGCGAGCGATCGCCGACGGTCAAAGAAAAATTTATTTTCAGATTTTTTTTAAAAATTTCTTCCCCCAAATTTCTCTCAAAAAAAATTCAATTTTTTTTCCAGTATTTTTCTCTGTAAAATTTTTTTCTACGGAATATTTTTTTGTAAAACCAATTTTTCGGAAAAATTCGAATTTTTTTTTTGAGACAGAAAATTTTTTTCGGCAAAATTTTTTTAGAGAAAAACAAATCGGATTTTTTTTTTTTGTGGGGTGGGAGGTGCTATTTTTAAAATGAACATCGTAATGACCTTGACCTTCCTTCATCGGCGCTCACTTGGTCCAAAACCGCACACAGAGGACCAGGCTCCGGGTTACCTATTTTGGGTGTTTCCGGTATTTAGGGTGTTTTCCGGTATTTAGTGTTTTTCCGGTGTTTTCCGGTATTCAGTATAAAATGGTGTTTTCCGGTTGTTTTCCGGTGTTTTCCGGTATATAGTATTGCCGGATACGATGCTGTCATCAGTTTTATGTATCGGACACAGACTAAACACAAGTTGTTTATAGTACGGCTATTGTTTTCAGTCGATGACCTCAGTCGTTAACCCTTAACCCTAAATGACGACCTTACTCGCAAGGAGAGGTCAACAGGTTGTTTAGGAGATTGCTATTGAAGGAAAATCTCAATACAGTTTTGATTTCAACTGTCAGATTTGAACTTGGGGGAAAATAAACAAAATAGACAAAAAACGATGTAATCATATTTGAGTTAGTGCGTTTTTTTATTTCAGTCAAACAAACTATTCCCAAATTTTAGCACAACCATCGACCGAGTTTATTGACTGGAAATCCTAGTGGTACTTAGGGGTAATTGGAATTATGACTTACCATAATGGCGCTGTTTACTATATGGTGGTTCATTGGTGACATCTAAAATCTCCCCCTTTTCATTACCCGTCAGATATGACGACATTTTTCTGTTAAAAATACTAAAATATTTTACGTACAAAAGCAAATTATTATAGATATTTTTCAGATGAATAAATAGGCTACTTTGTCGCATTTGCCCTAATACGGCCTTATCGATTGATTTAGCCTCTTTTTTGTCAATATACGTTCTCGAATAGGCTATTTAAATAATATATGTTACGTACAAAAGTAAATTATTCTGATAATTTTTAAGTAATATAGAAATACACCAGTAGAACAAAGTTATTTTGTGTGGTTGTTTTGGTTTATGAACAATATCTTATTTTATTTTAGATTGAAATGAGAAACAGGAAATTATAATTCATATAAATTCAATCGCTAAATTCTCGGTTCAGAGTGGAACTGAAATTTTCAGCTAATTCCCTTTACATTAGTCAGCTCTATGGGCCCATCTATTCTCACATAATTTATCTTTAAATTAAATTTAATCGAGTTTAACGTCCCGTCGTTCAGCATCAACTGTGCTAATCAAGACGGGAATACTCCATTAAGTGTGCAATGTGAGGTTATTTTGCACGGACAGCGGTTCTACGGCCTACTCTTATTTCAAATTCCAACGTCAAGGGTTCTTTTACGTACACCCCATTAGAACGACTAGACAGTGTTCCTTCTCAGGAACCCCGTCTTGCATCACTGAAAAGGGGAAAATCACGCCGGAAAACCCGAGGGACTTTCTCTTCCAACACAAGGAGCGAACCTGAGACCGAGTCAGGAACATACTCACCGAGCCACCGCGGCTCACTATCAAAAATGTGCGTAAAATATTTCATAAATTTTAGGGGGAAAAGATACGTTAAACTAATCATTACCTATTTCTATTCATTTATTCACTCCCGTGCATGACGCAATGAGTTCTTTCTATATATTGTATTGTTCTTTTAGAAACAAAATATGCCAAATCAATCGATACAGCAGTATTAGGGAAAATGCACGACAGGGAAGCCCATTTATATTTTTTTTTTAAAAATATCTACAATAGTTTGCTTTTGTACATAAAATATTTTATGATTTTCATCTGCCGGGTTATGAAAAGGGCGGGATTTTACATGTCCCTATACAATTGTGAATAACGCCATCTGTTACCAAAATGAGCTTATAATTATGACGGCTTTATCGCGTAACATTTGTGAAATGTCAAAATGTTAACGAAACTAAGAGAGAGAGAGAAATCGGGTTTAACGTCCACTCAACACAAACTAGGTCATTTCGGGACTAATATGTGGTTTAATTTTATTTTAATAATTCGCTTGCGCGTAGGGGTCTTCCGCAGTGGGAGAAAACCCACGCGGTTGGACAGGCGACCCTACGCCTTGTTACGTACAACCGGGGATTTGAAACCACGCCAGTTGACTCAATGACAGACCTTATGATACAGCACGCACGTGCTAACCATTAGGCCTCCCCCCACCCCCTTGTTAACGAAACTAAACA